CACAAAACAGAGTGGAAACAATGCGAGTCTGTCTGCACAGCCCTGGCTGGATAAAGGGGTAAGTATGTATCTGCAGGGGATAGAAGACCCGCGGAGATGTGTTAAGTGAAAGTATCATGTGGTAAAGTCTCAGTTACACAGTGAAAATGCTTACATGCGTGTAGACAATTCTGGAGGGGTGGCTAGCTAGCCACACTTACCCCACTACTGCTTACGAGGAGCAGATCTGCGGGAGGGAGGGAGGGAGGAGGAGGACTGCGTTCTCATACCTTCCCCCCGTTTCCCTCTTTCTCCTCCTTAGAAAGTGCAACGGAAGAGCTGGCATGAACAGGGCAGGCCCCTACCTTCTCTGGGCTTGAGTTTTCAAAACTGTACAGTGGGCACCATGAGTACCTCTAAACAGAACGATGGTGAACCCGAAATTAGATAATATAACGAGGCTATCAGAACAGTGCCTGGCAAACAACAGTAAGTGCTCAGAAATGTTTCCTATTTTCACTAAAAAATGAAAGTTCAAGAAGCCAGTGGGGGGGCCAGTGGCGGGGGGGTGCAATGTTGGGTGAGGGGTGTTCCGGAAGTGACAGCAGCCCCGACTCCAAGGTGGGGGGCGGGGGGGGCCCAGTGCAGGGAAGTTGTAGCTCCAGCCATTCCTCGGGCCCAGGGGGCTGGGTGGTCTCTGCGGGAGGGCGAGGCCAGGGCGGCACAGGGACCCGCTGGAGCTGGGAGGGTTCCTCTTGCCGGGGCTGGGGGTCAGCAGGCCTGGGTTTTCCGGTCGCAAACCCGTGTCTCTTCAGGAAAGCCCGGGTCTTGCTTGCACGCCAGTAGGAGCTTTCTAACGGCAGCTCCGCCCACCTGCGACGCCCCTGGGGGTCCCTGGACGGTCTTGCTCCCTGGGCCGAGAGGTGAGGTGCACTTGACTGACCGCTCCTTCTCCCCGCTTTGACTCCTCCCCCTCCTAAATCCTGCCTGTCGGACTCGGAAGGAAAAAAGAAGCAAAGATGGGCAATTAAAGCCAAGAAAGACAGTGCCTGACTAAATTCATTAGAAGCCAATAAAAATGATTGAAGTCAACCTGCAGTGAGTTAATGTGTATTTACGATATTGCCTTTGGAGACTGTGCTAAATCGTCTCCCGGTTCGCTGAACCCGAGCCCTGCCCTGCGTAATCGCTCGGAGGGCCTGACACACGCCCACACGAGGACGAGGGGCGGGCACTCTCGCAGGACCAGGTGGTGGCGAAGACACAGGAGACCCAGTCCTCCCCGGGCCTGGTGATGAGAGGGGCCGGGACGGTGGGCCCTGCTTGTGGGGGTCAGTTCTGTGTCGGCGTGGCTGCGCCACGGGCACCCAGACGTCCAGCCTGAAACTACGCGGGGTGTGTGTCTGGGAGGGTGTTTCTCTGTGGACATTAACATCTGAATCTGTAGACCGAGCACAGCAGACTGCCCTCCCCAGCGGGCCGGGTCTCATCACAGGTCTGAACAGGACAAGAGGGCGTGACTGCTTTTGAGCTGGGACATCGGTCTTCTCCTGAACTTGAGATGGAACTACGTCATCCGCTCTCCCGGGCATCCAGCCCTCGGGCTTCGGTTCGTGGGGGCTTGTCAGCCTCCATAATCATGGGGGCCAACTCCTCCTTATCTTTCTGTCTCTCCATCCATCCATCCATCCATCCATCCATCCTTCCATCCATCCATCCATCCATCCATCCATCCATCCATCCATCCAACAATCCATCCATCCATCCATCCATCCATCCAACAATCCATCCATCCATCCATCCATCCATCCATCCATCCATCCTTCTATCCATCCATCCTTCCATCCATCCAACAATCCATCCATCCATCCATCCTTCCATCCATCCATCCATCCTTCTATCCATCCATCCTTCCAACCATCCTTCCAACGATCCTTCCTTCCTTCCTTCCTTCCTTCCTTCCTTCCTTCCATCCATCCATCCATCCCATTATCTATCTGTCCACACCTGTCTCTCTGTCTCCTATTGGTTGTGTTTCTCTCAAGAGCCCCAGCAGATGCACCGCTCCTGGACTTCAGGGTAGGGGGGTGTTTGCACACATGCATGCAGAAGAATTTGGGGGGGAGGGGAAGAGGAGGGGTTGGGGCAGAACCTGGAACAGAGGGACCTGAGGGTTTCACTCCACGCCTCCCAGGAAGACGAAGGGTCTGGGTTTTACTGCTCAGAGGGGGCACTGGTGCTGCAAAAAGACCTAGAGTTGGTGAGTCGGATGCACCTGGGCTCGAAGGTGGGCCACACAGACCAGGTCGGGTCCTCACCTGCCCTGTCCAAGCCTTGGTGTCGTCGACCATCCCGAGGAGCTGACAATGTTTGCCTCACAGGGTGATCGCCATGGTGACATTGTGGGATGTGTGGGGGCGCCTGGGATGTAGTGGTCGTTCTACAAGAGCTGGTTCCCCACGGCCCTGGCTCTCCCTCATTCACGTGGACGTGAGGTGCTGACGTCAACTGTGAGGACAGGTGTGCTCAGTGTCCCACGAGTGGCTGGAAAGATCACTCCTGTCGCTCTTGTGTTCTGCCCCTGCACTCCGCAACAACAGCACTGAAGCAGTCTTCTCCCCACGTGTGCTCGCAGCTGTGAATGCACGAGGGAAGGAAGAGACTGCAGCTGTCGGGAGAGACTTTGTGGGGAAGGACGGGGTCCCTGAGTCTGATCAGCAGGGATGGGAGAGGCTGTGGGGGGGTTGAAGGTGCCAGGCCTCCGGCCAGCAAGGCTCTGGGGTTGGAGGGGGGGGCTGGGCTGCAGGAAAGGGCTCTGCAGGGAAAGAAGTGGGGGCAATGGCTGGAAGGGTAGTGTGACCCCAAAGCCAAGGTCTGGAATGCCACGTCTAGGAGCTTGATTTTATTGCACAGTTAATGAGATGACTGCATCACGGTGCTCTGAGTGGAGGAGAAAACTGTGTTTTGGGGAGATTCGCGGTTTAGAGGGATGCGGAAACGAGGGTGTTGGCTGCGGGGGCAGAGATAACGGGACCACCCATCTCCAGGTTGGTTGGGGCCAATGGACACAGCGGCAGTTGGAGGGGGCCCAGGGGCTGGGAGAAAGGACAGGCCCTGATGCACAAGCACATCTCTGTAGTTTCCATCCTCTTTTCTAATGTCCCTTTGGCCAAAGAAAGTCCCATGTCCAGGCTCAGGTTTAAGGGTGGAAAATAGACTCCGGTTCTTGCTGGAGAGGCCGAGCCACAGGCCACGCGGCGAGGGTGGAGGGAGGGGTGAGCTCAGGACCACTGGAGGCCGGGCCCTGGGCTGAGTGGTGTAAGTGCCACAGACGGGAAGAGAGAGCCCAGGACCCAGGCTGAGGCGGGGGAGTGTCCGCAGACAACCTTGTAAAAGGAGACAGAGAGGCTTAGACGGTCGACATGTTGGGTTAGGGAGACCAGCCGCGCCGCAGGCACCCACTTTCTGGAACAGGTGACGAAATGCCACACATCTTTTCTTTCTTTAAGATTTTATTTATTCATTTTTAGAGAGGGGAAGGGAGAGAGAGAGAGGGAGAGAAACATCACTGTGTAGTTGCCTCTTGAGCGCCCCCTACTGGGGACCTGGCCCACAGCCCAGGCCTGTGCCCTGACTGGGAATCAAACCGATGACCCTTTGGTTCACAGGCAGGCGCTCAATCCACTGAGTCACACCAGCCAGGGTGCATCTTAATTTTTTAACTCAATTTTTATTTATTTATGTTTAGAAATAAAACCGATTATCATATTCCAGGGTATTATTTTGCATATGGTTATTGTTATTGCTTTCTAGAGTTATTTTTTAAAAAATTTTGTTTAAAGATTTTATTTATTTATATTTAAAGAGGGAAGGGAGGGAGAGAGAGAGAGAGGGAAACATCAATGTGTGGTTGCTGGGGGCCGTGGCCTGCAACCCAGGCATGTGCCCTGACTGAGAATCGAACCTGCGACACTTTGGTTCGCTGCAGCCTGCGCTCAATCCACTAAGCTACACCAGCCAGGGCTTAGAGTTACTGTTTAACACATAGGAATTAGTACTACCTGTATATAATGTGCATCCTTATTTTTCCCTCAAAAATTTGGGCAAAAAGTGCATACTATACATGGCAAAATATGGCACATACCATAAAATCATTTGAAAGCAATTCGTAGATTTTCTTGCTTCCTAATGATGTTCAATTGAAGATGCAAAAAACAAAAATCATAGCCAACAGGACTGTAAATGACTTCCTTATAGTCAAATAAATAAAAAATAAAATGATGAATATTCCTTCTAATGCAATTTTATAGCAGAAAACAAAACAAAACAAGAAACACCAAGCCAAACAAAAACCAATAAAAGATCCTTAATGAAGAATGGGGTGAATGACTGTGTCTGGCATGTTTGTCAGCCCCCTAATAAACCTGCTGTCCAGGGTCTGCCAGTGCACAGGGCTGCCCTGCGAGTTGGCAGGGGTCCCACCTTCAAGGCTATCGACATTTGCCAGGTGGGGAAGCCCCAGAACTCTGGTCGCGGAGCCCCTTATCAGACCCGGAGAAGCCAGGTTTCCGCCCACAGCATGTCCCGAAACAGCCGATTTCGAACCTGTACTTACTCTGGCAGAGAGCGAGTTTCCGTGGGAGAGCTCCTGCCGGCCTCTGCCCCAGGGCCCTGCAGGCTGAGTGGGGTACGGGGTACGGGGTACCGGGTGCCGCGTGCCGGGTGCGACTCTGCCGTAAACGACCAACTATTGTGACTAGAGCGCCGACACTGGGCCGGCCCGCGCATCTCCACTTGTCACCCTCACTGGAAGGGGAACAGCCTCTGCTAAGTCACCCGTAAGGCCCCCTCCCGCAGCTCTCAGCGGCCTCGGTCCCCTGGGGGCGTGGCACCAAGCCCCGGGCCCGCCCCTCCCGCCCTCGCCACGCCCCCACCGCCTTAGGAACGCGGACGCCGCGGCGCGCTCCTCTGACGCACGGCGCCTTTCTGTGACGTAGGCCCCGCCCCAGCCCCGCCCCGGATTGCTGGGCGCCGGCCCTCTACCGCGAGCGGCTTCTTCTGAGGCGGCGCTGAGGCGGCGGCCGTGGTCGCGGTCTCAGTCCCCGCCCCGCCGGCTGTGGCCCGCTGTGGTCCCGGCTCAGCACAGCGGCCGCCCAGCCCCTCAGGTCGGCGGGCGATGGTACGGCGGGGCGCGCGGGCGCGGGCATGACGGAGGATGGAAGCGCAGGACGAGGTGTCGGCGCGGGAGCAGCACTTCCACAGCCAAGTGCGGGAGTTCACGGTGAGCGGGGCCCCGCTCTCTGCCCCCGGCCCCCGCCTCCTTTCCCGGCCCCTCCGCCCCCACCGAGTGCCGCCCGCCCCGTCGCCTCCGGCTGGCCACCTGCGCCGCTCCCTGCCCGGCTCCGCCCCCGCGCGCGCCCACCGCCCGCCCGCCCGCCTCCGCCGCGCGCGCGGTCCCGTCGAGTCACCTGTGGTCCCGCGCGGAATGCCGTGGCGCCCCCGCGCCCACACCGTCTCTGCCCTTCCTGGGTCGGGGTGGCGGGGCCTGGCGGGGAGACGGGCGCGCGTGCGGGTCCCGGCGGCGCGGGGCGCTCAGCCCCGCCTCCGTCGCTCCGCCGTCGGCCCGCCCGCAGCCCGCTTGTATTAAGGCCGAGACCACGCTCTGCCGGGGGAGGACCGGCGATTCGCGGGCCTGCGTCCCTGCTGCTCCGAGGCAGCCTCGCGGAGGAGGCCCCTCTCCTGGCCCCGGTTTGGCCCGCGCCGCTGCCGGGGTGTCGGGCGCTGGCGTGGCCGTGGGAACCCGCCTGGAGGCTTCCGTCACGCGGCGCCCAGCGCGCAGTGCCCCGGTGCTCGTCGGCGTCTGCCAGACGGCGGAGGCGCGCCAGCTCCTCCCCGCTTCTCTCAGGCGCGGCCCCGGGGCTGGAGGGGAGAAGGTGGCTTCCCGTGGCCCCGTCGGTGCGGATGCCGATGTGGACGCCGCGAGTCCCCTGGGCTAAGTCTCAACCTCGGAGCAGAGAGGAGCCGCGGGTCGGAACTGCGCGGGGGGAGACCGAGTTGGATTTCAATTTGCGAACCAAACCTGCGGCGACCGAGGGGGGCGCACGACTAAGCGCGCGCCCAGTTGGAGGCCTGCGACCCGCCTCCCGCCCCAGCGACTGGCGCCCCCGACGGTGACTGCTGCCGGGCTCCGCGGGGCCTTTCGCGAAGTCGCAGTGGTGCGCGGGGGTGCGGGCGGCGGCTCGTCCGCGCGCGCGCGCTCGTGCCTGGTTCCCACCCAGGGACGCCTGCGAAGCTCCTGCACGTGTCCGCGGTCGAGGCCCCGCGGTGCGCGAGGCGCGGGGCCTCTCCTCGTTGCCACGCGTGGTGTTTTCTGCCCTCCACGTGCTCTCAGGTACGCGTGCCCCGGTTTTTATCCCACGGAAGATTTTATTGAATTTCCCCGGTGCTTTGAATTTCGGAGGCCTTTTCGTGCGTTTATTAGTCACTGGGAAATCTTATCTGAAGTGTCTGCAAGTCTTTTCCCCATTTTTAAATGAATTTATCTTTTTAATGTTGATTTGCAAGAGTTTTTTATTCGCGATACGGTACATTGGTCGGAGATGTAGATGCGGCAACTCAGTGACGTCTTCTAACTAGCGGAAATTCTTAGTTTTAATACAGTTCACTGTATCAAGTGCTTTTTTACGATCGGTGCTTTTTTATGTCCCGTTTGAGAAATCTTTGCTTACTTCAAGGTTATGAGGAACTTCTCTTGTGCTTTTCCCTAACTGCTTAATCGATTTGCTCCATCCCATTGAGGTCTGAGTTCCTTTGCAGTTTATTGCTTGTGTGTGCGGTGAAGTAGGAGTCACACGTTTCTTTTTTAAAAATATATTTTATTGGTTACGCTATTACAGTTGTCCCATTTTTTTCTCCCCTTTATTCCCCTCCATCCCATACGCCCCCTCCCACCATCATTTCCCCACCCTAGTTCATGTCCATGGGTCGTACATATAACTTCTTTGGCTTCTACTTTTCCTACACTGTTCTCAACCTCCCCCTGTCTATCTTCTACCTACCATCCATGCGACTTATGCCCTGTACCTTTCCCCCTCCCTCTCCCTTCCCTGATGACAACCCTCCATGTGACCTCCATTTCTGGGATTCCATTCCTGTTCTAGTTGTTTGCTTAGTTTCTTTTTATTTTTGTTTAGGTTCAGTTGTTGATAGTTGTGAGTTCATTGTCATTTTACTGTTCATAGTTTTGATCTTCTTTTTCTTAGAAAAGTCCCTTTAACATTTCTTATAATAAGGGCTTGGTGATAATGAACTCCTTTAACTTGACCTTGTCTGGGAAGCACTTTGTCTGCCCTTCCATTCTAAATGACACCTTTGCTGGATAGAGCAATCTTGGATGTAGGTCCTCGTCTCTCATGACTTCAAATAATTCTTTCCAGCCCCTTCTTATCTTCAAAGTTTCTTTTGAGAAATCAGCTGATAGTCTGATGGGAACTCCTTTGTAGGTAACTGTCTCCTTTTCTCTAGCTGCTTTTAAGATTCTTTCTTTATCTTTAATCTTTGGCTAATGTAATTATGATGTGCCTTGGTGTGTTTCTCCTTGGGTCCAACTTCTTTGGGACTCTCTGAGCTTCTTGGACTTATATGTCTATTTCCTTTGCCAGATTGGGGAAGTTTTCTCTCATTATTTTTTCAAGTAAGTTTTCAGTTTCTTGCTCTTCCTCTTCTCCTTCTGGCACCCCTATGATTCGGATGTTGAAATGTTTAAAGGTGTGTCAGAGGTTCCTAAGCTTCTCCTCATTTTTTTGAATTCTTGTTTCTTCATTCTGTTCAGGTTGAATGTTTGTTTCTTCCTTCTGCTCCAAACTATTGATCTGAGTCCAGGTTTCCTTCCCGTCACTGTTGGTTCCCTGTGCATTTTCCTTTATTTCACTTGTCAAAGCCTTCACTTTTTTCCTCTACTTTGCGACCACACTCAACCATTTCTGTGAGCATCCTGATGACCAGTATTTTAAACTCTGCATCTGAGAGGTTGGTCACTTAGTTGATTTTCTGGAGTTTTGCTCTGTTCTTTCATTTGGGCTATATTTCTTTGTCGCCCGACACCTGTTGTGTAGTAAGAGGCGGAGCTTTAGGTGTTCACCAGGGTGAGGCAACCCACGTCACTGCCTCGTGATGCTCTATGTGGGGGAAGGGTCTGGGAGGGAATAGTGCTGCTTGCTTGGCTCTCTGTCGACTTTCAGTCACTTCCCTGCTTCCCACAAGCAAACTGGGCCCTTCTGGTGTCGATTCCTGGGTGGGTGGGTGGGTTTGTTTACCTTCTAGGACCCTGTGGGTCTCTCCAACGGACTCTCCTGTGAGGCTGGGAGTTTCTCCCGCCACCTCAACCCTCACAGGTGTTTTCAGTCAGAGGTTTGGAGGCTTTATTTCCTGCACTGGAACTCTGGGTTGTGTGATCTGTCTCGTTTCCCAGTAGTTCCTCCTGGTTTATCTGTGCGTGAATGTGGGACCGCCCTGTCCTCCAGCTGCCACCTCACCTTGAGTCCTCTCTGCCCTGCTGCCCATCTCCACCCCTCCTACCGGTCTGGATGAGTGAATGTTTATTCTTTAACTCCTTGGTTGTCGGACTTCCATACAGTTCGGTTTTCTGGAAGTTCTGGTTGCTTTTTGTTTTTAAGTTTGTTGTTGTCTTTGGTTGTGCGAGGAGGCAGAGTGTGTCTGCCTATGCCACCATCTCGGCTGGCAGCCCCACATGTGTTTCTTCATGTGGATGTGCAGTTGCTGAAGCACCACGGTGACCTTTGCTATGTCAGGTCACTGTGTGTTTGTGGGGTTTGAGTGTGGATACTGCCGCTCCATTGGTCTGTGTGTTTTCGGTTTATTTCGAATGAATTGGGTGGTGTGTTGTTGGGACTGCGGCCCCAGGTACAGCAGCCAGGGGCTCCATTGCCCTGTCTCCTGCCGCCCCTCACCTGCTGTTGGTCAGGCTTGGGCGTAGTGACAGGGTTACCAGCAGACTGCAGTTGAGGAGGAGGAGTATCTAGAGAGAGCTGACGGCGATGGGTGTGGGGGGCGGGGGCAAAAACCAGGGCACCAGAGGGAGGTGCAGCCTGGCGTCACCCACAGCACCGTCCAGTAGTCAGCGTGGCCTGACTCACAGCCGGAGAGACGGGAAGCCTCGCACGGAAGGGCTGCTCACCCCGGCTCCCGCCACCCTGTACGCAGTGTGTGACCTCCAACAAGGACGTTACAAGGTGTGCTGAGGGGCAAGAACCAGCCTCCAGAGGCAGAGCAAGCACCAGACCAGACTCAGGTATGACTGAGATTTGGGAATTGTGAAGCCGGAATGTAAAATAACTGGTCAGTGTGCAAAGGGCTCAAAGGGGAAAAACGCACCGCGTGCGGGAGCAGATGGGCGATGTGAGCGAGGAGATGGGAGCCTGAAGGGGCGGTAGGGACCGCGTCAGCTGTCACAGGAACGGGGAGGGCCCTCGCTGGGCTTCTCGGTTGATGACACCGGGCCAAGGGGAGAGGGAGTGCGCCAGAAGATGTGTCAGCAGCAGCTTTCCAAACTCAAGAGCGGGGAGAAAAGGAGACTGAAAGAAGAAGCAGCACAGCCAAGGGCTGCAGGACAACTGCAAGCGATACAAGGCACGCGTACTGGGAGTGCCAGAGGGAGGAGTACATGGAAAGGAAGGGGAGAAGTACTGGCAGCAGTGCGGGCCGAGAATTTCCCCCAAATTAATGCAGACGCCAAACCACAGATCCAGCAAGCTCGGAGACCACCAAACAGGACAGATGCCCAACTGTCTGGCCCTGGGCGGAGAAGTAGAGACCGCGGGCATGGAGAACAGAGGCCTGAGGAGTCAGAGCGCCTTCCACAGGAGGATGGAGAGTGAGAACCAGCCCTGGCCGACCCCACGCAGTGCAAGGCTGTGCGTTTGATCTCCCCGCAGGGCACTGTCCAGGTTTTGGGCTCGGCCCCAGCTGGGGTGCATCGGGAGGCAACTCATCGATGTTTCTCTCAGCCGTCCTCTTTCTCCAGAACCAGTGAGCGTCGGGTGTGGGTCTGACCACACCGGCAGGTCCAGTGCCCGTGTGACGCCGCGCAGTTACTGCAGCGCCACGGGCCGCGCTCCCTCCCTGTGCCGGCCTCACGTCCTGGGGCTGTTCCGTGACTGCTGGTCTGCGCTTCTCGATCCCTTCCCCTTTTCACAGCCCCTCAGCCCCTCTCCCGCTGGCCACTCTTAGTTCTCTGCGAGTTCACTGAAAGAACTACAATGGAAGTTTTAATTGCTTTAGTGGGTAGCTTGTAACGTTCAGGATCACTCAGCATCTCTGTTGTTTCCCTTCAGCCTCGGTCGCTCGGGCTCTGCAGGGGGAATGGGCCTGCTGGCTGCATCGCTGCAGACCTGCCCCCCCCTCACTGCTCCCCCCACCCCCGTGTTGTCAGAGGTGTGTTGGGGGTAGTGGCCTTGAGCCCCTTTGTCCCTGCTCCTCTGTCTTTCAGTGGATTTGTCGAAGCCCCTCGGCCCTAAATGAAAAGCTGGGATGTACCGCTTCCCTATGACACACTAGTCTGAATTTAGGTTCACGCCTTACACCTGGGATTCAAGGTTATTAGCTTTTCACAGCGTTTTTTAAAATTCTCGTTAGGTTGCTGTGAGTGGGTGGCTTGGCTCCCGCATGCCCAGGGTCCAGTAGTGCCCAGCAACAGGACTGACGGGGCGAAGGGCCAGGTGCCTGCCATCTGGCTGGTCCCCATGAGGTCTCTGCTGGGGAGCTCTGTGGTCGAGCTCCTCTTTCCCTGATGGGAGGGCTCTGGCTCCTCCGAGAACCACGCAGGCCCACCTCTCCCGTCGCAGGATCTCCCCCGTCTGTGCGCAGGGGTTTCCTGTGCGCCTCTGGGTGCGGAAGAACTGGAGGGGTCCTCACCGCCTGCCGCCCTTCCACGCGCCCTCCTGTGGGCCTGTCTCTCTGCTGAGTGAGTCAAGTCGGGCTCTCTGGTAGGGAACCGGGCCAGGCCCCTGGCTTTGCTTCCGCCCGGCACGGTGGTGTGTTAGTTTTCACAGGGGTCGCTTTTTCTTCCCAGCGAGCAACGCGCTGGCGTCCGTGGTTGCCCATCTGACCCCTGCTCCGGAATGGGTCGCTCTCCATCAGCCTCTTCACTCCGTGCCCTGCCCCACGTCTGGGTCCCTCGAGCTCCTTTTGTTCCTCAGCCCCCAGGCCCTCTCATTCGCCGCCGGGTCTGCAGACTCCCTCAGCTGCTGTTCCCGCCTCCAGACACTGACTGCAAGTCCCCAGAACACCCTCCAGCCCCGTCTCTGTTCTTCTACTTCCCGGTCAAGTGCTTTGCTGCACCGGCTCCTGCGACGGACCCCCGCGCTCCCGCCCATCACCCCCTAGTTCCGCCTTCTCCCGCTCTCTGCAGGGCTCGCCCACGCTCCCGCGGGTGCCCTGCACCTGGGGCTCTCGGACAGGGGCGCGGGGATTCCTGGGCGGCGGTGGTGAAGCCGGGGCAGAGGAGGCTGCCTGTGAGGAGCCTGCGGAACGAGAGAGGTTTCTGGCTCTGCCCTGGGATCGCAGGGGAGGGCGATGTCCAGCGGCTGGCAGTGCGGGCAGCCGGTGAGGGTCACTGGGAGAGAGGTCGGGGGCGGGGTTGTGCCCGTGTGCAGGCTGCGGGGCAGAGGGCCGGGGAATCATGGAAGCGTCACGTGGGTGCGGCATCCCTGCTCGGAGTTACCGCGCTGCGCCCTCCCCTGGACTGGCCTGTCTGCTGCGCCTCCCTGCTCCCTTTGCTCCCCTACGCTCCTGACCTTGCTTCTTGCTTTGCTGACAAAACGGAGACCACCGAGAGAGAGAGAGAGAGAGAGAGAGAGAGAGAGAGAGAGAGAGAGAGAGAGAGAGAGAGAGAGAGAGAGCGCGCAGCTTTGCCGCCGCCACTCCCCCGCTCAGCTGCCACAGTGGCGCACACGCCGTCTCCTGCGCCCCCTCCTGCCCCTGCTCCTCCTCCTCTAGCCTGTGGGGGGCGTCGTGGCTGGCCCCTCGGCCTGGGCACGTGTCCTCCGCAGTTCCGTGCTTCCGCTCGCATCCGTGCTTCCTCTGCACTGGACGTTTCCCGGCCCGTGGTCACTTTTCCCACCTTGAGAGCACACCAACTGTGACTCCACATGCCCCTCCCGTTTCCTCTGCTTCCCGTGACCGTGAAACTCCCGGAAAGAACATTCGGGGCACACTTGTTTCCGGTTCTCCTCTCCCAGCCCCTTGGGTCCGGGTTTTGCCCCTACCCCGCCAGTACCTGCCCGTCTGCTCTCTCTCGGCCCGACTTCCGCAGACGCCCCCCCTCAGTGAGGCCTGCCGCGCCCCCTGCTGGCACTCCCTGTTCCCGGCGCCCAGACCATCGCTGTGTTTGCGTACTTGTTATCTGTGCTCCCCCTGGGACAGCAGCCCGGGGCGGCCGGCCCCTGGTAGTGTCCTGCGGGGTGACTTCCGCCCGCCCCGCAGGGGCTCCGGTCCCCCGGTCGTCTGAGTTCTGCGACTTCGACCTCCTGCGGCGCGTCGTCTGTGCCCAGGCGCTCCCCTTCGCTCGCTCTGCCAGCCCACCGGGCCTTCCACCCCGCCCCCACCCCCGTACACAGTGTGCCCCCGGCTCTGGTCTTCCTGGCTGGCCCCTGCCGCGCACTCGGGGGTTTGGGGGGCGGTGGTGACGACGTGTCCCTTCTCTGCCAGGGCTCCCTGTGGGCTCCCAGGCCATCCCTGGTGCCCCCGACTCTGCTCCTCGGGTCGCTGACCCAGGACGATTGGGAGAACGCTGACAGGAGTCTCATGGTTTTTCTCTCCGTCTTTTAAAAAATATTTTATTTATGTATTTTTAGGGAGCGGGGAAGGGAGGGGGAGAAACATCGATGTGAGAGAAGCACTGATTGGTTGCCTCTCACACGCCCCCCACTGGGGACCTGGCCCACAACCCAGGCCTGTGCCCTGACTGGGAATCGAACTGGGGGCCGGCACTCCGTCCACGGAGGCGCCCCAGCCAGGGCTTCCTCTTTGTCTCTAGGTGTCGTCTCCTAGGCGGCGTCACAGGGATGTTCACCACCAGGTCCATGGTCGTTCTCAGTCCCGGGCCACTGGCCCTTCCTGAGGGGCGCACACGTGGGGCGCTCCCGAGGCCCTGTCGCCACCGGACTGGTCTCGTTTGAGAGCTGTCAGGGTGCCTTCCCGCGGCCCACGGTTCTCAGAGGCCTTCGTGTCTAGCACACCTGGTCTTCGATTGTGACTGGATCTGTTTTTTGACCCATCCTTTCCGCCTGCCATGCCCTACCCTAGATCTGATGGGAGTTAAGTGGACTTGAGTATTAACGTCTCGGGTTCAGCTTCTGTGTACTTTGATGCATGGTGTGTTAATTGAGCAGTTGTTGTGGCACTAATTAGTGATGCCTTGTGTGTGCGCGGCCGCGTGACGCACATTTCACGTGGTGGAGTCCGTCCTACTGACCTTCCTTCGGGGGCTGCCCCAGCGGTCCCTGTGAGTGTCGTGGGCCCTGCACACCGCGTCTCACTCTGGGTGCGGGCGGCCGCGCCCGGCCTTTGTTCCCAGCACGGCCGGCCGGCGGTGTGCCGGCTCCGGTGTGCCGGCTCCGTGCGTGCGCCCGACTGCGAGGACAACCTGGTCAGGTCACGGAAGGGAAAGTCCCTTCGCACTTCTTTTTCCCGGAATGATGCTAAAGCTGGTTCCCATAAATTGTTCCATCCAAACTTCATACTAGCAAAATATTTTAAATGTTTACTCCGGAATAGATTAAACCCTTTTTTTCTATAGATGGTAAGGATGTATCCTCTATTATTTAAAAAAAAACACATGAAAAACTGTACTGACAGCTGACGAGTCCACTTTGTTCTGTTCCAGATATGCTTCCTCCTCTTTGCCGCCCTCTACGCCGTCTCCTACGTCGTCATCACGAGGTACAGGAGGAAGTCAGGCAAGTACAGGCGCTGCGGCGAGCCCTGGGCGCATGTCGGGCAGCGCAGGCCTGGCGCGCAGGCTGCACCCGGCCGTCCGGCGGCGGTGCACGTGCTTTGCCCGGGGCTGAGGTGGGCCGTGGCCCGGCGCTCAGAGTGCTAAAGTCACCTGCAGGGAACCCGGCCGCTGCAGGCCATCCGTCTGTCCTCCCGGACCCAGCCCCGGTCTGCCACACCCTCGGGCCTCTGGAAGCACGTGCGGGCTCCCCTGTGTCTGGGGAGCTCCCACGTTCGCCAGGCTCCTTGGCTCCTTGACACCGGCTCTGGGTCCGAGCGTGCTCGCCCCGTCCCACCCTGGCTCTGACTCCCAGGCGGTCTCTCTTGTCCTAAAGTGACGCGGAAGTCAGGGTCTCCCTGATGCCAAGGCCTTTGGTGGTTCCATCTGTATCTTCTTTTTTTAAGGAACTTAGTGCTGGTTGGTCGACTCACCAGTTTTAGTGCTGGGTTTAACAGGAACCCGGGCAGGCGCCTGACTCACTGGCCTTCTGTTAAAGCGCAGCTCTCTGTTCTCCAGAAACCGCAGGGCTTGCCGCCTGTGTGGCGCCGCGCCCATTCCAGGTGCCGTGTGAGTGCGTAAGGACTCCGGTTGTTAAAGATCCCCAACGTTAGGTTCTCACGCTGCACTCGTCAGACTTCGGAAAGCAGTGGGGAATGCTGCCCGCTCTGGCGGCCCCGTCCGTGCTCTCAGGGGGTCTGCGGCCGCACGGGGGTGCCCCTTGGGTTCTGTCGTCTCTCCGCTGGGCAGACCTGAGACCCTAGGCAGAACCTCCGCCACTTTAGAAGAGGTTCCGGCAACAGGTCTCCTAGACCGTGGACGCAGAAGTGCGCGCGCGCACACACACACACACACACACAGGCGGTGTGCACGAATGTTTTAGGGGGATCGGGGGATGGTGAGCGGGCCGATGGGAGAGTCATTAGATGCTTTTTAGAGGGATCCCAGGGACGGGTGATGAGGACTCCGGACCCAGCTGGTGGAGTGTGCAGACGGAGCTGGAAAAATAGAACGTCGTCCGAGGTGTTGGTCGGACGTGGGCACAGCAGTGTGAACAGGAGTGGTGGCTGTGTTGTGTCGCGGTCCCTCTGGTCGTGAAGCTGTGGGGAGCGGCCCGTAAGCAAGAGTGTCGACGGGACTGAGAGACGGGCCCGGTCGCGCACTGGCAGTGAAGCAGGTGGGCGCTCAGAGCCGCAGGGACTCGCAGAGGGAGCCTTGGAGGACAAGCCAGTTAGGTCCTGAGGAGGTGGGGGGCTGGGGCCATGCAGCGTTCTTTTTCTTTTTTAAAAAGATTTTACATCTTTTTAGAGAGAGGGGAGGGGAGAGAAGTACAGGGAGAGAAACATTGATGTGAGAGAGAGGTGGTTTCTCGCACACACCCCAGCCGGGACCCGAATCCCCTACCCAGGCGTGTGCCCTGATGGGGAGTTGGATCCACGACCGTTTGCAGAACGCCGCTCAACCAGCCGGGCCACACCAGTCAGGGCCAGCAGTCTCGTCACTGGGCCAGAGACTCTCTGGCTGGTGAGTGGCCGTGGGAGGGCCGGAGAGAACGCTGACAGCCGTGGGAGGGGGACGGGGGAGGCCGCCTGAGCATCAGCCAGCGAGACTCGACGCTCCAGTCTGTCACCGGGACAGCGGTGGCGGCGAGCTGCGGTGGCGCGCCCGGGTGGCCCGGGTTGGCCCAGGCGAGGCCTTGTCACTACCGCTGCTGACGAGAAGCTCAAATCGTGGGAAAGAACATGTGTCCCAAGGGTCTGAATTCTAATTACACAGGAACCTTTTTTTTATAGGCTGTGATCAACCAGAAAACCTCCTTCATTAGCGATTTCTCTTACACTGTATAACAATACACTTGGTAGTGGTCCCAAGAGTCCCATTAGACTTGATTTTCTTAAGCACTGAATGTTTGGAACTTTTCAATTTACGTGTGGTCGTTTCGTTAACAAGGATTTTTGAGTGATCAAAACCGTGTCCTCTAACCAGATTCTGTCCTGTCTGGTTTAATGAGATGCAAACTTGGGTCTGTGCCGAAGTCAGCACAGGGCTTTTAACGGTGGTTTCCAGTCAGCAGTCGCTTCGTGCAGTTTGTAGTTTTGTTTCTTATAAACTAACGAAACGTTTTGTTGGAAGATGGAGTAATAGAAATACCTTAAACATTTTTGCAGATGAACATGAGGATGAAGAGGCCATCGTCAACAGGATTTCGTAAGTATTTAAATTATTTTTTTCCTTAATTCTGAAGTCGTGCGGTCTCCAACTTTACCTCTGCCGTCTGGGCAGAGGTACGGGAGGAGTCCACCTGACGAGTTCCGGCGCCCCCGCTGGCGCCGGCCCCGTCCTCAGGAAGCGCGAGTAGGCGGGAGGCTGGACTGAGGGAGGGCTGACCGTCTCGCGTGGAGACTGGCCTGTTGAAGGGCCCAAAGACTCCATCTGCGGAAGGGGTACCCGGGAAGTGGGCAGCCAGCAGGCCCGCGAGGAGCGCGGCCCTTGGCTGTGGGGGTCTGCTGAGAGGACCCTGCAGTTCTGGAGGAGGGGCGGAGGCTGTTCTGGTGAACTCCCTCCTGTGGAGTGGGCGGGGAGGTGGTCCTTTCAGGACCCCCAGAACTCTGTGTCCCCCAGGTGCGCTGGCGGTGCAGGAGGGAACTACCTGTAGTCTTTTTGGGAGTCAGAGTGCATGGGAGCCGTGCCTTCCTTTCTGTCGGGATTGCCGTGGTTAAAACCTGAAACCCCACAGCTGCACCGGGACACAGGAGAGTGTCTGTGTGCGGGACTGGGGTTCCTGACACTGCACCTTCCCTTCCGCAGCTGCACGTTCACGGGCAAGTCGGACGGAGAGCGCAGAGCCTGTCTGCACTGGCCTCCGGGAGCAGGTGCTGACGGGGTCCCTGTTCGCAGGACACGTTTGTGCCTGAGTCCTGCCGTCAGGGTCATGCCCTGCGAATCCCCCGCAGCCGCGCACGCCGGGAAGTGGGTTCGCACGGCGCCGTGGGCGTGCCGGTGGCCCGACAGCGCACCGTGGCCGCAGGGCCCGGCTCAGAGCCCCACGCGGCAGGGCGGTGCCCTGAGCGTGCAGTCGTCTGCAGACCGGCAGGCGTCCTCAGGGCTCCCTGGTGCCCTGGCCCCGCGGGTGTGTCTGCTGACCCGTCACGGCCAGGGTCGGCTCACACAGCTTCTGCCGAGGTGTGGGGGGGAGGGGAGACTGCGCGCACACGCTCACGCACACATGCACGCACACTCACACGCGTGCACTGCATGGGAATGCCACTCAGCCTCGAAGAGGAAGGCGGCCCTGCGCCTGCTGCGGCGTGGACGGGCCTCGAGCGCTCAGTGCCGAGTCAGACAGGCCCGCGCGTCACCGAGGTCACGTCACCGAGGTCACGCGCCTGCGACTCCCTGGAGGAGGGTGCCAGGGCAGGTAGAGGCAGCAGAAGGCACCCAGGGCCCAAGGGGAGGGAGCTCGGGGGCTTTCTCTGCGCGATGCAGCGCTCGTGCGCCCCGCACTGCGTGCGCCCCGCCGCCCCGGATCGGTCACCGCCCACCCCTGGATCAGTGGTCGCCGAGTGGTCAGTTCTGTGAGAATCTCACTTCAGTTAAAAGATGCTTCAGTTAATGAACGGCTTGAATCGGACTGATTTGGTTTATAACTGGAAAATGAACATGGGTGGGTGCCGGGAGTCCTCCCTCTGGGTTTAGAGCCCGGGCCTGGAACTCCTGGAACTCGGGGAACTAGGCCTGCAGGGGGTTAGTTCAGGGGGAGGCGTCCCAGCGCCGGGACGTTTGTGAGCGTTCCCCAGGGAGCCGTCCCGTCTCCGGTGCAGTTGCTGCTCCTGCGAAAGCCCAGCGCCCACCCGCTTCCACGCGTCAGGGGCCGCAGCTGCGCATGGGCGACCCCGAGGCCAGGTGGGGGGGCCCTCCCCAGGGACATGCCCTGGAGGGGGGCGGCAGGGCCGGTGCGGGCCGCTCCTCCCCGCTGGGTCTCTGGCCCACGTGGTGGTGCATGTGCTGAAGTGCACTCGCAGATCGATGGTTTATAAATAGACGGGAACGCATGGCTCCTGCAGTGTGTTTCAGGACAACCTGCGGTTTCCGCCCCCGTCTGCTCCAGCCAGGCGGCCCGTCCCAGGGCCCCGTCCTGATGCCTGATGCGGGGTGGGTGTGCATGGACTGCAAGGTCAGGAGGGAGCGCCAAGGGGATGGCCCATGCCCTGCCCACCCCCGTGCGCCCCCCTGGGCCCTCACCCTGGCTCTTGCTGTCTCTCTCAGGCTTCTGTCTGTTCTGCAACGAGAGGAGAGGGCACTGAGCCTGGGTTCAGGTTCTGACCCTGGGATGACCTTGAGTCCAGGGGAGACAGGAGCTGAGCTGTGCATTCTCTGTGGGGGAGCCCGGCCCACTGCCTACGTGGGTGGTCACGGCGTTGTGCGGGAGATGCCGCACGTGCAGGCAGTGAGGGGCGGCGCCGCTGCGCAGGGTGTGACCTCAGGCGTCCCAGCTCCCCGACCCTCTCCCTCGTCGTCCTCCCCCCACGGAAGGGCTTTGTGCGGGCACAGCAGAGGGGGAAGCAGAACCTGCGGCCTGAATGGACCAGGAGAAGGTGTGAGTGTCACGTGGGCGTCGTCTGTGTGCCGAGAGAGGTGCGAGAGCTCTGAAACGCAGGGTCCTCCAGCACCGTCCGGCGCCGGAGGGTCCGGCACCACCAGAGTCCAGGCCCCAGTGCGCAGGAGGCCCTTCCTCAGGCTCCCAAGTCACTGCGGAGCCCACCCGCCATCTCTCCTGGGCTCCGGGAGCCTGCCTTCTGCCGTCGGTCTGGGTCTGCCTCCCTGCACCCCAAATTCATGCCCTCTGCCCTCCCCACCAAAGTGGCCTCTTTGGGCAGCCCTGTGGCCCTTGCTGGGGTTTGCATTAGAGCAGTCTTTGTGGAAATTCGGCACCTGCCTGGGGAGGCTGCCGGGAAGGGCTGGGGAGCCCAGGCTGGTGAAGGGAGTCTCATGCCGGGGTCAGGCCTGGCATGGGGCACCTGCTGTCGCTCTCAGGATTTGAGGAGAGGGAAGGAAGTCCCCCTGCAGAGAGGGGTCCGACACGGGTGTCATCCTGAGGTGGAGGAGGGACGCCCACAGGGTTTGGGGCAGTGCTCTGTCACAGGGAGGCAGAGCCCACACAGGGTGGCTGGGCATCTGTGCAGGTAGCCTGGCCTGGGTGGGGGGCTCAGGTGGGGCAGGACACCCCCACTGGGTGGTCACCTGAGCAGCAGGGCATCTCTGTGCAGGCTGGGGTGTCAGTGTGACGGGAGCTGTGGGTCGGTCCATGGGAGCTGATGGAGCCAAGGGAGGGAGCCTGGGTTGTCCCTATGGGGCTGGAGGTGCTGCTGTGGTCCTGTGGTCTCTGCCCAGGGTTACCAAGCCAACTGCAGACGGCATTGTGGGTGTGTGCATGGATGAGGGGCCCCGAACACCGGAATTACCTTCCAGAGGGTGAGCCCTTGGAGGACAGGCTTCCCCCGCTGGGTGAGTGTCCTAGGAGCCCATCTGCATCCGTGCGCCAGCTGGCGTTGTTGTGAGAGGCTGCGTTTGGCTTCAGTGATTTTTTTTTTTTAATTTTTGAAGACTTTTTCAACATGTTCACCCATTGCGTGATGGGTGATCGACGAGTGCACCTGCCCACACTGCGCTGAGTGTTCAGCAGTTTAGGACCAAAGACGGCAGGATGCCCCTGTTTCCCGGATGAGAAAAGTCCTCCAAGGGAAGCGTTTTGCTGGTGTGGAAGAGGCGAAACAAAGAGGGCAGAAACACTAACAGGCATCAGAATTGACGAGTTCAGAAACGTTTGGCGCAGTTTGGGGAAAACATTTCAGCGGGTGCGTTGCATCCAACGGAGAGTCCTTCGAAGGTGACTGCAGCTTACACGTGTCAGAATAAGTGTACGTTCCCTAACTAAACCCCGGGTTCTCTGGGCCCCCGGTGCTCACACAGTGCACACGCGTGTCCTGCAGCGTGACGCCCGGAGCGGGGAGTGCGGGCGGCACCCAGGCCTCTGCCTTGGCGCACCGCCGTCCGCTCGGAGGGCCAGGGCTCCGGGGAGGCAGGGCGCAGGGCGTGAGGCCAGCCCACTGCACAGACCTTGTTGTGCCCTGACGTGAGGAGGCGCTCGGAGAGCAGTGGGGCCGTGCCAGGCAGACTCCGGGCGGGGGCTTTCCCGCCACGCCAGGGCCGCCTGAGTGTCCGAGGGGCGGTGGTCACGGGTCCTGCGCGGCCAGTGGGAGAGTCCGAGCCCGTGCTGGTGGCTACCACTGAGTAAGCAGCTGTTGGACGGGGAACAGGTGGCTCTCCTGCTTCCAAGCTCGGCTTCCAGGCAGTACCTGCAGATGAAGGGGAGAGGCCCCGCAGACGCCGCCTTGGGCAGTGGCCAGCACACGGCCCGTGTGGGGCAGGCGGGCGCAAGGCTGCGAGACAGCCGCAGTGCCGACCGTGCCGTCGGCTCCGGAGGTCTTGCTGAAAGAGCCGCCATGATGGTCACGGTGGCCACACGGTCAGGAGTTTGGGTTGCCTGTGGCTTCACGTACCTGGTTTGCACTCCCACACGTGTGGCTCTGTGGGTTGCAGGCCCCAGTTTGGACTTGGAGACGGGTTTGGCCCTCACCGCCCGGTCTGTGGTCGGAGTGTCGTGGACGCCGAGGCCAGGGCGGGGACGCCGAGGGACGCATGGCAGGGCGAGCGGTGTGGGGGCCCGGGGAGGGAGCTGGCTGTGGCCCAGGGTGGAGGTGACGCACCCGCCGAGTGTGGGGGGCAGCGGGGCTGCAGTGCAGCACCTGGCGTGGGCTGTGGGCTTGACTTTAGTCCAGGCGTTGGGAGGAGGGGTGGACGCCTGCAGGACACGTGCTTCCTCCTTGGGGGGGACGAGCCTCCTGCCAGGCCCCTGGCTGGCCACTGGGGGCAGTGGCTCTGGACCTGGACGAGGACTCGTGCTCCTGCTCCACCAGAAAGGGCGTCGGGGCAGCGGAGCCCCCCAGGGCGCGCCCTGCGTCTGGTAGGGACAGGGTTTTAGGCGGGTGTCGCTCGGTGCCCACATCAAGCGCACCAGTGATTGAGTGGCGGGTTTCGGGCCGAGTTGGCTTTGAAGCAGGGAGCACTTCTGCGGGTGGCCACAAGGTGGCGTTGGCCGCACAGTTGCCCAGTTCCATGTGAGTATTGCAGGTTTAGTGTGACCTTTCTTCCTTGTATGTTCTCACGTGTTCACGTTCTCCCTGCATTTATGTAGTGGAATGGATGTGAAAGTCCGCGCCCTCCTTCGTGTGGAGTCCGGCGCACACTCCCGGCCTCCCCGGCGGCTGCTGACGCGCCTCTCTCCCTTCCAGGCTGTCCCTGAGCACGTTCACGCTCGCCGTGTCCGCCGGGGCCGTGCTGCTGCTGCCCTTCTCCATCGTCAGCAACGAGGTGCTGCTCTCCTTCCCGCACAGCTACTACATCCAGTGGCTCAACGGCTCCCTGATCCACGGTCAGTGCACTGCTTCACCGGGCCCCGGGCCCCGCGCCCGCTTCTCAGGGTGCTGCGTTTGTGGGGTTTCCTTTCCCTGTCTGTGCCACGCACGTTAGAGAGTCGGTAGGACAGTGAGAAGCTCTTCAGTCCCGCAGACTGAGAGGCGGTGGGACGCCTGCATGCGGGCTTCCTTCGGGCGGTGACCGCTGTGGGACCAGGTGAGTGCGACGGCCGCCCGGCCCGGCCCGGCCCGGCCCGGCCCGGCCCAGCCAGTGTGCCGAGTGCCAGGGGCCGCTCGTCTTAGGACGGCAGTTCCAGAGGACGGGAGTTTAAGGCCAAAGCATAGCCCCAGCAGCGGGTGGGAAGGTGGGAGGATCATCAGAGTAAAACTGGGGCCCTAGAGTCAGGAAACAGTTCCTCAGTCTTTGAGGTGTTCCCCCGGGGGGCAATTTTTGTTTGAGGTTTTGGGCCTCGTGAAGAAACAATAGAAAGTCCACCTTCGTTTTAGCCATCTTCAAGTTCTACAGAAGATTTTTAAAACCACACTTTTAGATACTATTTATGTTTATGTATGAAGACTTGAAAGTCAGCCAGTAGTGAATTTTAGTGTCCGATTGTTAGTTAAATGCTACTAATGGCTTCTAGTGAATTGGTCTAAGTAGTTCAATCATTTATCCTAATGCACGCCACTATAGTTATGTATAATAATTTTTAGCCCGCATGCTGCAAGAATGTTCACCACGTGCAGTGACACCTGCTTAGTCAGGGGCACGGGCCTCTCTTCCCTTGTTGTCAGATCAGAAAACGACAACAGGCAGCACAACAATGGCCATTGGGTGTGAATGATTCAAAATTATAGCTATTTTTTGTCAAATCAGCAAAAAGTGTATTTTTTGGTGTATTGCAGAATTTTAATAGTTTACGTGAGCCATGAGATCAAAAAGGTTGAAAATCGCTGGTTTATAATAACTAAAATAAAAGACAATGGCTAAGTGTGCAGAACGAGAAATTTGCTTGGCTATATTCTGGTGGAGTCACGCGGTGGGGCGCTTTCTCAGCCATGACGGACACTGGTGTTGAGGAGTGATGGTTGATTCGGAAAGAGGGAGAAAGGGCTCTTCTCTGGGCAATGTGACATAGAGTTTTATTTTAGTACTTGCACTGTGTAACATTTCTCTGCAGTGGGCGTGTGCTGTGTGCTGCTTTTTTGTTAAAAGAAAAAATATTAAGGTAAAAATTTCACAACTCATTGTGAAAATTGTTCTTCCTTCCGTCTTCTAAATAAACAAGCAGAAGCTATTCTAGTTCTTAAGTTCTCACAGTGCTGATGAATCAAAAGTAAACTTGTCTTCTAAGGCTTATGCTTTCTTGGTAGAATTTTAAAAATTGTATTAGTCATTTTTTGACAATTAGATTAGAACCTCAGTTCCACTGAAAGACTGGTTTTAACTCAATGTTGCCGTTTTGGAAGTTACGGAGTGTGGCTGAGCTCAGACGAACTTTCTCGTGTGGAGTCATGGACTTTTCTGTCTGGGAGGGACAGCGGTGGTCCCCTGCAGCGCGGGGCTGTCTGCTGTGCTGTGCAGCACCTTGTGACCCCAGCAGAGGGAGCTACAGGTCAGTGCATCCTGTGTCGCCCTCTGTCTGGCGGGGTTTGGTTTCCCACTAAGTACTGGGGGTTATTAAACTACCTTTGTTTGAATTCAGATACTTCTTTCAGCAGCAGGCATTGGCTCTTTCAGAAGGACTGTCACCAACACTGATTTAGATAAGTTACAAGGGTTCTGGATTCTTAAGGTTCTACTGTATTGGAGCATGTAACTAACTTTCTGAAGTGAAGAAATTTGACTAATGTTTTCTTTTATTTTATAAATTGATGTGTAAGGAAATAAAGGTAGTGGTAGTATTTTATATGTTTTAGCACTAATTTTTAATTTAGAAATGTTTTATCAAAACTATAGAAGTATTCTTAGGGATATTTATGTGTGTATGTCTGGTGTATGTTTGCAAGATGCTGGGAACTTACTAAGTTTTAGACAGTTGCTAAGGTTATAATTACTGCTTAGGAATGTGTGTTAGGTCTGTTATTTTTCTGAATATTAGATATTCTCACAGTAACCTTACATGTTGCCAACTTGGTAATTAAATTAGTATAAGCTAAGTCTAAAACTTTCACATTTATCATGGTTAGTAAACTTAATTTTTTGCATTTAATTACTTGGACTTCAAAGAAAGCCGGTTATCCGCGTGGATTGTACAGGAGAAAACCAACTCTCAAATTCTTTCTGTGAAGTGACTGTGTCTTGTGAGAATAAACAGCCGTGGGCCGCTTCACGACAGGAGCCGTGGTGGCAGATGCGTTGTCAGGCAGTTTCTCGTCGTGCAGACAGCACAGGGCGCTCACACACACCTAGGTGGCCGGCCCACTACACGCTAGGCCACGCGGTGCAGCCTGTTGCCCGGGGCCGTTGGTTGCCCGGCGAGCGAGTGCACGAGACAGCGTGGGATCGGATCTGGCGCGAGAGAGCACGCTGCCATCGGGAGACTGGTGCATAAACCGGGGGTTCGCGCGGCCGCTCTAGGCCTGTGCGTACGGTCGAAAGAGCGCCCCCTAGAGAGCAGTATGAGTGCAGCAAGCACCGGACGCAGCACCGTCGTCATGTGTTACAGCTTACCCAGTGTTGTGTGCTGTGCGCAACTGTGTTGCCCTCCTGTTACACAAGGGGCGGTGCTGTGGGTCTGTCTGCGCCGCATCCCCGCAAACATGGGAGCAGGGGCCGCGCTGTGACGTTTGGCTGCTACAAGCTCACACTAAGGGAGAGGGATTCCTCATCCCCATTGTGGTATGTATCATCGGTCCTAGACCAACGTGTGTGGTGGCCGTGTGCCTGCGTAGTGGGGGTCCAGATCACATCGCGTCTGTCCCGCCCTCGCGGTGGTCAGGGCTGCAGCAGGAATGTGGAGTCCCCCCGGAAACGGGCAGTTGGGGGAAATAACAGTTATGTTACACAATATGTGCATTTAAAGTTCCATACGTAGAAGAAGGCATCCAGTTTCCCGACCACCTGAAGGAGCCAGCTGGTGTTCAGAACCTGCGTGGCCATCCCGCCGGTTTTCCTCGCTGGTTCTGCAGACACTGTGGCCGCTCCCAGCTGCCGGGGCAGATTTCCTCCTCTGGCTGTTCACCACTGTCTTGTTTTCCGTGTGTGGGTTAGTCAGGGTAGATCTTTTTACTGACGTGTGAGCTTTTGCCCAGGGCAGAGTTTTATGTCTTTTTTCATAAGTTTGTGTTTTTTGTCTCATTTTATTTTACTTATTTAGTTTCAGAGACGGGGAAGGAGGGAGAAAGAGCGGGGGAGAAACATCAATGTGTGGTTGCCCCTTGTGCGCCCCCTAGTGGGGGCCTGGCCCGCAACCCAGGCTGGTGCCCTGACTGGAACTGGAACTTGAACCAGCAGCCTTCCCCTTTGCAGGATGGTGCTCCAGCCACTGCGCTACACTAGTCAGGGCAATGAGAATAATTCTGTAAGGAAAGGGTTGAGAGCAAACTTTAGCCATAACTTATACCACTTTCTTGTCTTTCTCTGGTCTAAGTGCTGGTGTGCGTTAGAGTTTCTCCGTGTTCTGGCTATCCGCGGTGTGTGGAGATGGTAGGGAGGGGCACGGACGTCTGTTTGACATGGGGGTGTGTCGTTTCTCTTCTGTTCTTCCCGAGAGCCCTGGGAGTCCGGGAAGAGCCTGTGTCACACAGGAGGAAACAGAACGTGAGGGTCGACATCCCCTTCCAGGTCACAGAGCTGACGACGCAAGCCCAGGCTGCCAGACGTGAAGGGCCATGCCCCTGGCTCCTGCCGTCCAGGCTCCAGAGGCCCTTCAGTCACGGGAGTGTGGGTCCTTGTTCTGTCAGAGGATGTGGCAGAACAGTGGGCATTTTACTGAGGTTGGCTGTGTGCAGAAGGCTTGGGTGTACGTGTGCGCACACACGCAAACACATTGGAAACACAGCAGTGGAGAAGCGTGTGAGAGAGACGCCCAGAGAGAAAGTGACAGGGGACTGACGAGGGCATCAGGGACATAACGCGCCCGAAGGAAGGAGGGGTAGGAAAAATATCTGACAGATTCGTGCCGGGAAGATGTCACCCTCAGGTGAAAGCTGTAAACCCACTGACCCAAGAGGCTCAAGCAGCCCGCTGTGCGAGAAACTCTGCCAGGGGGCAGCGTCAGGTTGGACCAGAACAGAGACAAAGAGGACACCTTAAAAGCATTCAGAGAAAAAGACACACCACAAGTACAGAGTAGCAAGGATAAGGATCGGCATATTTCTTGTGGGAAGAAATGCCAGCCAGATGACAATGACCTGCCAACCTAAATCCAAGAATGTTTTTCCAAGACAAAGGCAAAGTACAGACAGTGTCAGATACGCAGAAGACAATAATCCTTCCCCGGCCGACTGTTGGAGTGTGGATCTCCTGCTAGAAGTGCAGTTCGTGGGTAAACGTAATAGTCTTCCTTTATTGTACGTCGTATTAAAAGATGATTGGTTGTTTCAAAAACGAAATGGCAGCGGTTCATTGTGAGCTTTATAACGTGTGCAGGTGAAATGCATAAGCACAGAAGGGGCAGACAGAACAAGGGGGTGCACGGAGGAAAGAGCCCGTTCAGAGACTTACCCTGTCCGTGTCAGGAAGCCCCAGTGGCCTGAACACCCAGCTCAAGGGCAGAGGCGGCCGGGTGGGACGAGGGAGGGAGACCCAGATCCTGTGCTGCCAGCGAGAAACCCGCGGCGGCTCCGCAGGCACGAGGAGGTCAACGGTAGTCGGAGAGGAAAGGCGTGCCCTGCTCGTTCCAGCGGAAAGGACGCTGCCCGAGGTGCGTGGGCATCAGCAAAGGTGAGGAATGAAGATCGGTTTGTAGTGGGGAGGGATTCACTCATCAAAAGAGCATGATAATAAACGCCTGTTAGATCCATGAAGCAAAGCCTTACAGAAGTGGAAGGATTAATAGTCAAAGTCACAGTC